TTTCATCTGCTGATGGAGGTTTTAAATTCAACTGGAGGCATGGCAGGCTTCAAGTTGCGACAAAAAATACTCACTGAACCTACATGCACACATAGTTATACACTACACAACAGAGCTTGATAGATGAATGTATCCTGTGCTTTTGTGTAACTTTCCATTTTGAAGAAACATTTCAGACAGGTCGGGAATTGGGTTTTACCATAACCATGGCGATAGCCACCTCCATTTTATTTTCTCAGCACTCCAGCCACAAACAGCGACCGACTTCAGATGTACAGTACATGTAGGTCCGCCTGAATAGATTTTTTTTCTTTCAGGTTCTGTATCATACATGTTCTCGACAAAATTCATTTCATGGTGGCCCCGCCAGGTGATGAATAAATCTGAATGCTTCCATTATCAAATGAAGACAGTGGCAAGGCATGTATCTGGGTCTCCCGCCGCCGTCAGACATGCCCCCAAGACAAAAGTCTCTCCTGAAGATTGATTCTTGCCTTTCGCATCGGTGCGTGCACATCGACTGGGCTGCAGGGACGGACATGAACGTACTCCTAATCCTACTTTTGTCTCTAATTGCATTCTGCCTCCGTAGCCTCAAAGTCGTGTTTCTAGATGACAGTTCTCCTGGGGAAGACACTCAATCTGCAAATCCAAATGTTTAGAAGGAAATGGTTCCACGAACTGTGAAACCATACTAGTGTGGTATGACATACCAGTCCCACCCATACAGTGAACAGCAGAACAAGACACATGTAACTTTGAACCAAACTTTCAAAGAAGATTTTCTTACCAACAATGATTTCGTTGATACAATTGCCCATTTTTTATTACCGAATTCACAACACACAACAGTTTTCAAAGATGCTGGACAGTGCCACCGACTTGCTTTTTTGATAGTTGGCAGCAACTCCATTCTCTTTAAAAAAAAAAATGCTTGTCTTACAATAAATCCTGACACATGCATATGTAGCTGATGTACATATGTACACATAGGGTCCAGACTACAGTCAAAATGTTTCATTCACAGTGGACTTCATGTCAGCGGCACAATTACAGAAGGAAAAAAAAGTAAATAGAAAACACTGACATTGTCTGTCAAAAGAATAGGAGGTTGGAGCCAAATTTCCTGTTTGTGCAGATTCCTGTTTTTGAGGGGGACATCATTCAATGAACTGTCAATGACAGGGTTGCTTTGTACTGCATACAATCCCAACTCCCAATTGATGAAACATGATAGTAGAGTAGACCGTAATGTTGACGTTAGACAGCAATGTTTGCACCAATGGGAAACACATCAAGGATGCTTCCTAGGACGACATTAAATCAACAATTTAATAATTTCTACAGATGGGAGCACACAAGGCAGTTTAATGTGAAGACCATCTATGCATATGTATACCTTTGACACATAGTAAAGTCAATCCAATCTACCTCTGAAGTACATGTGCCCACACGTAGGCCCCTATGCAAAGTATGGAACGTTGTCATCTGGGCAAATGGTTAGTATCGATTGCGATTTTGAAATAATCTTCAACACCAGCCGGCTAGCAGTGACAGAATTCATTTTGCGCCAAACTCCATATGAGCTTGCAAGGCTCCGAGAAAACAGCAGGGCAAGGGTCAACTTATGAAGCTAGGGGTCGGGGGTCAGGGCATCAGAAGACCTTCTCTGGGTCTAGATCTTCGTCAGCAAAATTCCTGACATCAGGTTGGCCTATCAGGGTACTCCACCCTGGCCGCATCAATCATCCCCCAGCAAGCAGACTACACACATATGGGCTGGAATTTTATGTGATCAGGATTTTTCCACAGACGGGCAAGACATGCTATGGGGTGTAAGCTGGGGGGCAACTCTTGGTAAATACATGTAGCATGCAGTAACTGCTTCCTACCTGGACAACCCCCTCAGTTACAGTCACTCAGCGCCTCTCTTGAAAGTAATTAATTTAAACCAAGAGCAGTCAGGGACCAAAGACCACAAGTAATTGGTCCCTACCACCACATTTGTCGGAGCAATTATATTTGATAGGTTCATATAAATACTATATACACATTTGAGGGCCATTATGATAATTCTTGACTTGAAGGTAGGCAGGGACTGTTTGTGTGCTTTCGCACTGACTAATTAAAATAATCCATGCGTTATTTGTGCCAGGTGAACTCATCAGGGTATCCTGTCTCCACAAGGTTCAATATTGTAGGACTGACGTCTGTGCACATACATGTACATGTACTTGTACTCGACTAGCAGGCAAGCAATGGGGCAGAACTGCACAAGCAATAACCGTTAATACTGACCTCCTGAGAAATGAAACTCTGTGCAGCCTTACATTATGACGTTCCAGTTGAGATAACAACTTTTCATTTCTGACCTCCATTTCTGATTTTGTTGAGAGCCACCCTTGGGTTAATTAAACCCCAATACCACTCAGTAAGACCAAAGGGTCTTGCACTTGTCACTGTTTCCATGTAAAATTCCTGGCTAAAATCTCGGGAATACAGCCAGACCTTCGTCTGTGTAGCAGGTTTTTCCCTGCTTCTTTTACCTCACCAGAGACCTACTTTATTCTTGAATTATTCCTTCCCACCATGCAAAGCCCCTTCCAAAAGCTTCCTTCAAAGCAAGTTAAATACCCCCAATCCATATTCTGAAAAGCCATATAATCCAGTTCAGGAAATTCTCTCTTGCAGACTTACAATCTGTGCTACTTTGCACAGCACATCCTCCTGAGAGGGTTGCACAGAATTTGAGCTAAGGTCATCAACAAACAAGGTTGACAAACAAAATGTATCAAGTGTCATCAACAACAGAACTTACAGGTATTATGACTGCTGAAGGCATTTAAGAAATTTTGAAGACTAGTTTGGTACAATCCTGGTACAGCTGAATACAGCACTGAAAGACTTCAGGAAAGATGCAAAAGGTTTGCAAATTTTGAGGAAACGATTCACCTCACTCTCAGGTTTCAAGTGAGATTACTGAGTTACTTTTTCCCCAATTTGGATGCAGATGACTGTATCCAAATCCATCACCCTGTCTTAATCTTAATCCCACTTTCCAAGAAAGACAAAGGCCGGGTTCATTAACAAATCAGGCTCTGTTTGTGGCATTCAAGCTTTGTAACAGATACAACCCTGCGAATCATGCACGGACTTGTGAAGTGCAGAACGCTAGCTCTTGAGGATCGGATGGGAGCTTCAGGTTTCGCTGACATGCCAGACACGTGAGAGGGGCAGTGTATTTCCTAGCATTAAACTGGCATTTCATTACTGATTAATTTATGTTGCATAAGCTATCATCGCTCCCTCCACGCTTCCCAGCACTTGGCTAAAACATCCATATGACTGTGTGCGTGCATTTTGTCATCTTTCTTTTTTTCAAAATCTAGACAGAGCAGAACAAATCAACCCTGAATCAAACTGAAGCAAATCAATGACTACCGCGGCCTTGACAGTCCAGTGATTCTGGGGGCATTTACATGTACACAAGTCTGTTCCAACCTGGCCGTTTCTTTGCAGACAGCGAATATAACTATAATCCTTGTGAAAAATCAATCCTTTCTTCCCCTAGCCAAGCATTAGAGTAAACAGCCATGATGTTGTTGCCCTGTCACTTTTCCTGAGGTTTTTCATAACTCTGAATATTCATTATCTGCTCCATAGGGAATAATCCAGATTTCAAACGAGATCACTGAGGTGCATAATCCCCGCCAGAGAGAATAAAAGAGTACACACACCCTCGTCCATAGCTGCACACGGTGAACGAACGGTAGTCTGGGGAAATGGTATTTTAAGTACATGCACTGAGAGTAAGGGAAACAAATGTAAATATGAGATGGCTGCTGTAGAACACTTGTGTTCAGGAAATGACCCGAGTTCAGGGATGTGGAGTTCCTGTTCAAATAAAATCTCAAAGGTCCACATGTGGTACCATGAGAATTGAGAGCAAACAAACACGCTTGGGAGGTTTTACATTGCACATCATCAAAAGTGAAAGTAGGGCCTGCTGTGAAATTTATAAAAACACTAACACAACAGGTACAAATACTCATGACAGAGTGAATTATTTTTGGGGGGGGGCCAAAGCAGCTGACGTGCAGACCGTATTTCTTTGTCGAGCATTTCGGCTGAAATGATTTTGACAGGACTTGGCATTGGGCAAATCGAAATTCATTCTTGAAAGAACAACATAACTTTTTTTCCTTAGAGTTCCTGAAGATCACTTGCAATAAAAAAATTCATAAATATTTTATATTTCCTCAAAACTATGGTAAAGACTGAGAATATGGTCTAAATCACAAAAGTGTACGATTCATGACCCCAAAAACCTTGAAATTCTAATACTAATATAATAAATTAGGAATAGTTTTGTACCTAGAAATGAAGAATTCGTTTCAGTTGCAAATTTCAAAGGTGTTTTAATAATACCGGGCATACAAGGAAATATCATCAGCCACAAACCTCTTCCACATATTTCCTTACTTTGTTAGCTAAGAATCCCACAGCAGTGTGTGTTCTAAAAGAAAAAAAAGGATTCAACATTGCCCATATAAAGCCACAACCTCCATTCACGGTGAAACCACGACACCAACCCCCAACGAACAAAATGCATGATTCATCCGCATTCCCATGCACCAGCACCACAGCAGCGTAGCGCTAGTCCACCACTCACATTCACAACACAATGACAACTCGTCAACGATTTCTTGAAAATTCTCGGTTTAACCACAGCAGTTTTTCCCCGAACGTCACGTCCAGATGTAAGTAAGTCAGTCTCATCAAAATCCAAAGTAATCGAACTTTGTGACTGGAAAGGGCTCGCAGACACATTCGTGGCGTTTAAACGGCTGGCAAACAACCAAATACATGTACATTGAAGAAGGAAATACGAAAAAATGCGCACAAATTCGATTGTGGTGAGGATAGTTTGGCACACGGCTCGGGACACAACTTTCTCAACTGAAGAAAGAATTTTCAAAGACGAAAAAACACCAACTCACCTTCATCGATAATTCTTTCCACGTGCATAAACATGTTTGGTAACACAGAGAGAGACTTCTTGTCGTTTAAAAGCTGAGCTAGGTAATCAGTGCTGTTTGGAATCGGTGGGTGTTGTTTCTCAATGCTGGGATCCGCCATCTTCATCGGCGGTGTATGCACGGGAAGCGGCACCGGGACGGGGGCCGGGGCGGAGAGAAATACACCGCTGCTCGGCACCACCGTACCGCCCGGCAGAGAGTTCGGCGGCGGCATGGGCACTGGCAGTGCAGTGTTCGTTGCTGGGGACACGACGGACAGACCGTCACCCCTGTCGTTGGGCACAACAACGGACATTTTGGATGCAGCAAGTTCCCGTCACAACTTTGGAGCTGCAAAGTTATTTCTAGTGTCGACTTTCCGCATGCCACGACTAATAGATCTCACGTCAATGGCCTGCACACTGCGCGTGGGATGTGCATGCATTTGCGCGTTGGTACAAATTTGTGAATACGTTGCTTAGCCAATACGCGCCCAAGACTAGCCCAAGAATTACGTAGTCTTGTGTGCAATTTGCCAAGAGCTGTAGCCCAATTGAGCGCTAACAATACGGACTTATCAGACTGTACCATTGCCGCAATAGATACGTCGTATTAATATCTTGCAATTTTTTTCTGAAACAGTTCAATCTCTCTGTCAAAAATGCATTATTTTTAATAAATTTCTGCTGACAATGTTTTTCAAATCGGTAACATTTGTTCAATAAATACTTTTTTAAATTTCTGATTCAAGAGATTTAACAACATCCCTATTTTTTAATGGTACACGCCAGCCCAAAAGTGAGAGGCACGCCATCGTGAAAGTGCGTGCATTGATACTTTTTAATACAATAACATATTACATGTACCCCCCAAAAAAAATCGCAATAAATCCACTAGAACGAAAAAAGTGTCTGAAATTTGATTTTTTTTTCTCTTCGACTGTAGCATGGGAAGGGTTGTTGAGGAATTTGTTGTTTTTTCTTTCCAAATGTAGCATCAATTTGGTGGGGAACAATTTAATTTTCAATACATTTTAAACTCGAAGTCAGAATTCACACTCGGACAGTAATCACAGGAAAAAAGATCAATGATACATGCATGTGTAAGAAACGAAATGTAGTTTGAACTGTTTTCTCCACCCCAAATTATGAGACATCAGATGATCGATGGATGATGACTGATTTTTATGAATTAGATCTAAACATTTTAGCCGCCCTCTCGGCCGATTAAAGGAAGTGTCTTTTCATGGAGAAACAAGGGTCTCCAGTTCGTGTGTGGGCTTAATAATCTAATTGCAGTCGCCACAAACTGGTGCCATCTCGCCAATATTCCCATCGACAAACAAGAATAATCACCACACCACGAGTCCCCATCACAACAACGCATCTTCTTTTTCTTCGCCTAAGTTACACAAAGCTCATTCAGATTAACACTGATGCCAAGATTAACACTCATGCCGATGCCTGAGGGGGGTCCGACTTTGCATGTGGAGCATAAGTGACCGCCTTCTTTTCTTGCGGTTGATTGGTGAAAGGGCATTGTATCTTGTCATTCTCAAAGTAAATAGGGAGTCCTTGCTTTTTATCACTCGATCGAACACTATTCAGGTACACGTTGTAAGAGTTTTATATGGGGGCGCGGTTTCTGGGCCCCCAACTGGACGGCAAGTTATCGACCAAGGGACTAGAAAAATGAAAATGCCTTCAGTGTATTTCATTCCTCCATGCTTCAGTTAAGCCGTAAATTTTGATTGCGATGCACAGCGGTTAGTTTGATGTCGAACTGCACAATTTTACACGAGAACTACTGAAGACATGTTCCTGTGCCAAGCAGCATAAAAAAGCAAAATGCACAAGCAGGCAGGGAGAAAAAAACCTCCATAATTTCCTGGGATAATTTCTAAGCAAGACCGCACTGAAATTCAGAGTTGCGCTTCCAGCTGCGTTGCACTACCATCCTTATCATCATCTGATATCTTGAGTGGCCAACCACTACAAAAATTAAAGCATCGCAAGGGGGCGCTCTTTAGCTTTTGCGAGTTACGTCGAGCTGCATGTGTATAGCTCTACGGGCACAGTCCACAATTTCAAGCCCCATTGAAAACTGTGTAAAATCAGCACCGTTCAGGGCCCAATAGCATGCACGCCAACATCCCTGAGATTTCTGAAACACAAATGAAATTCTTGTCTGGTCACTTATCTTTCAATTTCTTTCAAATTTTTTGTGGGTTAACCAATTACATTTTTAATTATTCCCACACAACAAAATCACCCCCAAAAAAGTGATTTTTCCGAAGTCTGATTGCAGCCATTTTTCAACTTTCTCGGGCACTCAGAGACTCTTGAATTGAACCCTTCTTTTCTTTCAGTTTGGAGGAAGTGGTTCTGTTTTTGTTCACAAAGATGCAGCATGGAGAAACCATGTTTCTTTACAATAAGATATTTAACACAATGCAGTGACAATTGATATTCACAGGATAAGACTACTTCTCTGTTCATGCCCGAGAAAGTCTGGAAAATTCAGGATATTTTGGATACCTTTGGGGGATATTTCACTTGAACACAATACCAATTAACACAAAAAGAGAAATATCAGTCATACCACTGACCCACAGATCATATCAACAATTACTGGTAGACTGATGACTTGCAGTGTCAACAAAACTAGGTAAACAAGTATATTTCTTGCAGGGGACAATTACAAATGTAATTCTTTTTTGGAGGGAAAATTCTTTCCCTTACTGACATAACCTGAATAACTGAGAATACTTTTGAAGATTACAAAACTCAGGAAATCTTTCCATTAATGAAACTTTACAATATGACTGACAGCTGAAACATTCCAGACATCTTGTTTCCTTGCAGTATCTTGATCAACTTCCATCAACTTTTAAGAGTGCATTTCCATTTGCTTGAAATTTGCACTGCCTAAAGCCAATTGTACAATTTATACCAAACCAATGCAGCAATGAAATCAAATGATTTGTGCCTCTTGTTTTGTGGACAGACAAAAACCAAGTCAGGTTAACTGACAACTAAATCGTCTGCTCCTTCCTGATCCGTAACTCCTCTCCCAGTCAAGATTTGACATACAAATGAGGTAAAGCTTTTCGCACAATCATTTCAGTGTATACGGTTTCTTCAAGAAAGTTAAAACGGAGGAATATTTTCTCTTCCTTCATGTTCAGATCTACAAAAATTGCTGGGTTCCAAAAATGAAAATACCCCAAATTTCAAGTAACAAACAATATTGCCTTTTACTGAATGAACAAAAAAAACAAAACAAAAAACGAGGCAGATCCTTTAAAGGACTTTGCACTTGACAACCACGACTTCCTTTTCACGGTTGCTACAGCCGATGATACAACAGGCCCCCTGAACGTTAAAACAATACAGGTTTGACGATCGAACTACAAATGTGTAACGTGTAATTCACTCATTCTGGAAATTAAAGAATGAATCTAGCCTCCAAAGAGAATCTGGTCTTAAGTACTGGAATCCCAAGCAAAGCAGTATTTTGTTCATGTTGCTTCAAACATTCCTTTTGCATAACTGGCCATAAATGAATTTCATACTTAAATTGTTCTTTGTTACTATAAATAGTGCTAGTTATACAATCTACACACAGGGAAATGCCAGATGGGCATTTTATACATATTTTGCACAACCTAAAAGGCAGACTCCTGCTGTTTAAAACTAGCCAATCAAGGAAGGTGTTGCATAGGGGGCACTCCAAGCAGCCAATCACATCAGGCAGGCGATTCAGAATTTGTTCCATTCAGTGTCTCATTGGCCGCCCGGTGCCAGCTTTCCCTTTCCTCCTCTGTCAGCTCAGCACCGCAGGAGGACACTGTCAAATCGGGGTTGGCCTCACCCTCCGAGTTGGCGCTGCGCTCATTTCGGAAGAGCTGGTACCGTCCCAGGAACTTGAAGCGCCTGAAGAAGTTGTGCTGGGCGTCCCGCGGCAGTAGGATGCTGTACACGATGATGCCAAGCACAATGACGACGAACGATCCCACATAGAGGCCACTGAACTGTACAAACAAAAACATTTCACTATCTCAGAGGGCGTTTATCGCTCCCCTGACCCAATCTTTGAACTTATTTTTGTTACAAAGCTTTCCGTATCCTTAAAATGTCTGTGGAGGAGACCAGTGGCACAGTCTTTGTCCCTAACTTTTATGGGACATCAATCCAAATGTTAAGTAACAGGGGCTGGTTTCTACCTTCTCCAATCCTACAGAATCTTCCAAAACCTCCTGGTGAATTTTGAAAGATCTGCGTGTGCTCAACTCAATGGATGTTGGGAACAAAACACTGATGGTGCATGTGTCTCCACCGTCTCAGTTTGATAACTTCTTTCTATCTGCCCTGAGTTAAAGTGCGCCCTCACCGACCAAAGAAAGACAGGCCGGTATGAACTTTTCCAACCAGGCTGTTCCATGTGTTCGGAGTGCATGCCAAGACCATACATTTCAGAAAACATTCATTGTGCGAACTCAGCGTGCTCTGCCTCAAACGCGCATAAACTTAGCCACCTAGGCAGTGAGTTCGTACCAAAGGACTGTCAATTCCATTGAATAACACACCCTCTTTGTTCCTGCTTGGAAGCGGACACAGCATGCTTGAACAAACGTCTCACAGATGACAGTTACAATTCACAGATTTCTAACACATTTCAAAATAGAACTATGAATACATTAGAAATTTTTTTAATTCTTCCAAGAGGTTTTCGATTTGAAGACTCCACTCTCTTTAATTTCCACATTTCCATAGAAGTTTTCAAAGCGAGAAACCATTCAGACTCAACAACGAAAATGAGCTGGAGATATAAAAAATAATTCGGTTTCCCGAGATGGACATTCAACGCTGTATTGTTCTTGCTTTGCCCTTCAAAACATGCATTTACAAAAACCACAACATAAAATTTACACCTCCCTGACATTACATCTAACACCTGTAACAAGATTTGAAATGAAGGGGCCACTGAGACTAATGAAATTGACATGTCACTCACTGCATAGTGGAAAACAAAGAGGCTGACGATGAGCGAGTAGAAGTCGGCCGTCAAGATGGAGAGGTTGACCACCAGGGCGCTGCTCCACTTGATGACGACGGGGAAGAAGGAGTAGAGACAGAAGAGGCAGATCGCAAAGGCCAAGAAGAGAAGGACCACCTGGTAGTTCCAGGTGATGGAGGTCAGCTCCTGCCTCTCAAGGATCACCCTGGAGAGAAATGACACCAACAAAACAAAGCAAAAAGGGAAAAGAATCACAAGACTGAAGGGCATATCCTGATTTCTTGGCTGGGACGGGAAATTACAACAAGGCAGTGGGAAACAGACTGCAACCTAGTGAGCAGCTTCCAACACACTGCAGTTTAACCCTATCCATCAAAATCCATTTCCACGTTTTGGTGGATTTTGATGGACTCAATCCACAAGGCATGAAGCACTACCATAGTAATTAATTTTGGATTTCTGCCCTGCCCGATGTGTATTTTAACACTGTATACTCAGTGTATGCCCCTGAAGGCTTGTGAAAAAAAAACTCGGGTGGGACTCGAACCCATGACCTCCTGCTTTAATACTAGCGTAGACGTTTTAACCACTCAACCACCACGCTTGCCGGTGTCGGCTGGCTGGTTCGAATCAGGTGTAGCAGCGAGTACCGCAAACAACTATTTCAAGGATGGATTTGTGCTGGGGAGATGTAAATTAATTTTGGATTTTTGCCCTGCCGGACTACCATGTTGCCGTGGCAACAGTACTGATGACATCATGTAACCTGTGTATGATAGGTCTGTTACAACGACCATCACGTCAGTGGTGGACTTTAAGCAAGGAATGTGGACTGCAGGGCAAGTGTCGGATTTGGATGAATTTGGTCCAGTGTCTAGTAAGAGACACTGGGGAGTTCAGGTTGATGATTAATGGTGCTCTCTCACCAATCTGCCAATAGCCAGTTAACGTCGGATTTTCTTACCCAAAAAAGCTGTTTTTTTACCCACAAATTCTTCAACCTTGCAATTGTGCTTCGACCCAAGCAGTCACGATGCGTTAATACGTCAACCAAAAAAATGAAGACCAGAATTCTTAAACGAGTGTACACATCCTCTGTGGAACAGTAAGGAAAGTATGCATGTTTACACGTCATCCAGCATCGAGCGGTACACATCAGGTTTATCTCACGGTTGAACAGTTTTGTTAGATTCCTCAGGATGAAACTTCAAGTGGCCCACTGTTTTCTTTTGCATTCTTCCCTGGCGGTTCCTTTGGCTGAGCATTACCTACTCAAACCGGGGAGTTTAATTTTGGAAGATCTGTGATGGTTAGAGTTGGGATAAGCAAGGTAGCAAGCTGCTTCAAATCTTGACGCTCTTGACGAGTTTTATTTCATGAACTCTACACCAATCCTTAGCCTGTGTCCAACTGTTCCCCACAGGTAACTCCCATGTGACTTTTCTATCTGCTTCAATTCATTTTTGCTTGCACACTAATTAATCAAGTTATGGAATATAACAGAATCGTGAAATTTGACAGAAGTCTATTAACCCTAACCCCCCAAGAGTTGCTGGCCCTAACCTTCCCCATTCACACAAAGTTAAACACCCATATGGGACTTTTGTGCACAGACGCTGTTGGACTTTGTTTTTCTGAGGTATGCCAAACCCAATGCAAAAGCCAGCTATTATGGGCCTACCAGACCTATCCCCACAGAATAAAACACTTTACTACTGTTTAATTCTGTGGTTGGGGAGGGTTGGGGTTAAAGGCACTGTACATACACAGCAAACTGATGAGCAAAACAGCAGCCTGAAGAAATGATGTGGATGAGCTAAGCTTTACAGAAGGTTCGTGGAAGTGAGTCCAGGAGCAAGACTTCTCCCCAGTTTAATGGCTCATCAAAGAGTTGATGGAAGAAGCTCAGAGGGAGTTGATGCGAGTAGCACAGAGGTGTCCAAAAAACAGAATGCAAACTTACAGCTGTATGCCGCTGATGAAAGTTCCAAACAGACCGACCATTCCCAGGAACTCCACCCTGGTAAAGTGCCTGACGACGTACTCCTCTGCAACATTGGAGATCCCATACAGACTGGCCCCGATGAGACACAAGGCATCACCCAGGGCTTTCTGTGGCTTATCTGCAAGCGAGACAGAGAGTGGACAGAGGAACTAAATGAATAATATCAATTTGGGAATTTCCAGTCATTATGACTATGATTTGAAGCTGAAGATGACATTCAGTGGCAGGTTAAGAAAGTCAGCAATGGAGCATTACATTTGAGCAACACTGCTTTGTGCAAACCAACTTTCAACTGAATGGGCACAAACTCTATGTACGCAGGTAGAGAAACACAGAGGAGCCTGGGTACAAGACGTACGAGCAGCAAAGGGTTCATAAACAACATTGGTGATACACTGGGGAAACAGAGTACTACAGCAACGTAACCAAGAGTCAAGGAGCGTCAGTCTCCAACTTACCATCCGTGTCAGTCTTGCCTAACAGGCTGTCGGCCCATACCATTAGGGGCACGCCGATGATGCAGATGACTACACCGACGACGTGGTTGATGCGGTACGAGACCCTCAGGATGACAAACGAGAGCAGAAGCACGACCGGGATGGTGATGCAGTCCAACAGCTAAAAAAGAAAGGCAACACAGGTATCACTCCACTTCTGTTCTGTACATACGTACTCCCTCATACGAGGAAACCACCAGAGAATTGGAGGACACTCCAAAGCTATTCTCCCACACAGCTGACGCAGATCTGAATATACTAGAGTTCAGTGTAACACGCAGTATGTGCTCCACATCAGACACGCTTGAACAAACACAGTAATGCTGTAAATTGCTCTATGGGAAATGGATACATGGTCTAACAACCTAACAGCCTCCCTTGTCTAGCTCAAGCAAGGAACCCACCCTCATTCATACTCATGTATGATGATTTAAGATGTACTTTGCGTCGGGGAGATTTTAGTTTAAAATACAGGTTTTGCCCTTACACTGATGTATATCTCAGACAAGTACCGAGTATACAGTGTTCGTGAATATACGTCGGTTCAAGGGCAAAACCTGTAATTGAAATACGTATGATATCACGGACTGACTGGCGTGGTCAAGTGCAGCCTTGTTGTGCCTTCAATGCTCCCATGGGACGCCGGTGTCGCCGTGGAACACTGTTGTAGTTGGGTCAATCGTAAGTCCCTGCAAGTTCGCCACAAAGTCCACCACAAGACATCCAGTCGCGAGCCAAGTCACAAGCTATTCCACGGAACTGAGCCAAAAGCACCCCTTTTGTCATTGGTCACCCAGCTAAGTATGATGAGTCTTGTGAAAGGACTTGTGGCTGGACACAAAAGGGGACTTCTAAGGGAATGCAACACGGCTGTGGAAAGTCATTAACTGAAAGATTTGCTTATGGACCAGGCTTCCACAGCTTGTCTTTACAAACAGCCCGAGACAGGCCACTCACCTGGACACTCGTCAGTGTGGTATACTGATAGGCCTTGACCACCAGATAGTTTGCCTCCACGTCCACCAGTGCCACCAGCAGGTACTTCCACCAGCGAGACAGGAACACATGGTAGAAGTTGTCCGGGCGGTCCCTGCGGCAGCAGAGGATGACGCAATAGACCAGGCCAAGGCACAGGTAGTTGAGGAATGACTGAGCCGTCGGGGCGCTGACCTTGAAGCGGTCATGCAGGAGCTGACTGGTGATGGCCGTGCCACAGATCAAGAGGGACAGGGCCTGCCCACCCAGGAGAATCTTCAGGAAGTTTCTGAGAGGGTGGCACAGAGAAGGGGTGGAGGTGAGGAAATTCACAAGGGTGACCATCAAATTCAGTCTTGGTTTTTTGCATGAAAAATCAGCCTTAACTTCCTCAAGATTTTTTTACAACCTCATGAACCTTGAAGATTCCCAAGCTGATGGGCAGAAACACATTTTGCTTTCACACACTTTTAACATAAAAACATCCAAGAGGGTTTCACCACTATATTCAGTGTCAGATAGAACATGCGACCAGGTAATGTAAGGTTCTGCCATACTGCTTAGTAACGAACGACATGAAGAACTTATGTACTTCAGGCATCAGAGCTAGGCTAGTATCTACAGGTAGCTTTGTCATTTCTGAGGTTTGTCTTTGCAGCTGTGACCAAACAGGAAAGATGACGGGCATCTCAGATTGAAATATCTTCCTGTCCTTCCAAGGCAATGATTAAAACTGCTGGTCCATTCCAAGCAGACTCTTTGAACATGTCACCCCTTTGGTGCCATCTGAGCCCAGGCTTCCATTCAATTTAGTGCCTTGGACAGAAACCTAAAGTCTCTTTTTTGGGGGCCAGTGTTTAGGATATGTGAAATACGTGTAAATTGGGGTCTGTAAATTCTGTACAAGCAAATACTGCCTGTCCTGAATCATTATTTACCTGTCCTCAAGACGGCGGCTAAATGAGACACCTAGGCATCTTTGTCCCCTTGATCCTTTCCGCTGTCAGTGGTTAATCAGTTCTTTGCTGGGGAGTGTTTTACACCACCTCCCACCCCGGGGAAAACTCCCACCCCAGGGAACCCCCCCCCTTGTTAAATGTACTTTGTCTCCCCCCCCCCAAAAAAATGATTGACCAACGCGTTGCAAACTCTTGGAGGTGCACTCTTGTAAATTGCCCATATTGTAAATGTTTTCCAATAGTTGCGCCAAAAGCCTACACGGTGACTTTTTGGTGGGGGGAGGGAGGGATATGAACAACATGAGGACTGAGTGAACAGAGATAGGATTAGGGTGGTCAGATTTCATGTGACGGCAACTTTGGACAAGATGCACATTTTTTAAACTTATTACGTGTATTGTTTTTGCTCAATGGCTCCAGATTAAGGCTCAAGTTTAAAAGCATTCGCCATTTGGTTACTATAGCAACTGTTGGCTAGTATCCAGCGATTACAGAAACACTGCTCAAACAATCAATTACGCAATCCATTCATATTTGAATACAATGGCCATCAAAGCAATAAGTTTGATTTTCCTCTTCAACTTTTTATAGCTTATCACTCACATTACAGGGCACAGGCAATGAACTGTAACAATGGCAACAGTAAACACTGGTACAGAGAGCTTAATTGTTGCAAAGTTCAGTCGCTACGTGCAGAGATGATATGTAATGTACATGTATACATAACATTAGGCTGAATTTACTCAGTAATGTTATGTAATATCAACTTGTTGGCTGCATGTAACTGACTAAACTCTTAATCTTTACATCAAATGTGCCTCAAATTTCACTATTTATACGCTATGAATATCTCCCACACTGTACTGAAAAGGTTTCGGTTATTTTCATCATGTTGCAGAAAAAAAGGAGGAAAACATGCAAATCCCTGTACTAAGTGAATGGAAACTGCCCCTTTGCCAAGACTTGAGTGCAATAAATAATGGAACAACCTCCAACCGTGAGAATGCGCTTGAAAGTCAACTTCAGCATACGAAGTGAACTTTAGCAAGGAAAATACTGAAGCATTTACTTTGAAAAAAAAACATTTTTAAAAATCCCTTATAGTGCAAAGGGTATCAAGTGATGTCCAGCATGCGTCCGGGCACCAGCAGGTGGGCCTAAGTATGGAATTTGCTCCTCACTATAAGTTTTTACTGTGGCAGAGATCCCAAAGCACTGCACCACTGCGGGACTGTTACGCCCCAACTATTGCTGCAGTTAGGCTGGCCCAACTATTGTTAACCAATTTCTATAGAAATTTTCTCAACCTTATCCAAGTTTATGCATCTGACACAATTCGTCTAAAATATGGCAGTTCATCTGTATGACATGACATGGTACAATATGACTTTGGCACACGCTGGGCACATGCACACTGGACCTCTGCACCATAGTTGGGCCAGCCCAACTATAACTATTGCTTGTCGGTCCTGCCATTCGTGAATAAATAATGAGAAGTCCTGTGATTGGTCAGTGCGACCCCCAGCACGACGCAGCCAACTGCCACTTCAACAAGCGCGGCTAAGAATTACACACTCATGTACGGAAAGAGGCTGCAGCCAATTTCCGTGTCTTGTTGTGTATCGATTGCAGCTGTAGTCAACCATTTGGTTGCTGCTCATCTTCGCAAGTACACATGTGAACCGCATGACTCTCGGACGCAGATCAGGAAATATTTGCACGCTATTTTGTAAAAACGGCATGGTTTTGGCCAATTTTTTCTTGGTAATCAGAACAAAGGGATGTAGGCCTAAGGCTAAACATAGAAATCTTGGGGGAATTGGAGCAGCATTTCCATGGGTACACAACAAGAAAAGCTTAAATGAATCCCTGCTCATGCCCTGTAGTTTTAAATGTTATGTAGAGTCTATGGCGAAACAGGCTCATTTTCTGTGGGATCGGAGGGAGCGGAGCGGAGCCGACGTCGGACCCCACCGTTCTAGCACGGGGAAAATGGTAAACAACATCGAACATGTTCATGATGTTGAACATGGTCAACTCAAATTGACATTCCCACCGCACGCCGTACCAATCTGTCAGAACAAGAACGTTATGCATGATTAGCATAAGATAACAAATGAAAGAACTTACAATGTAAAAATACTTCTCATAAAAACCTTCAGCTGAGCGAGAATACGAGAGCAAATGTTTTCTGACATATCTGGAGCTGGAGCCGTCTCCTCCCCACGTGTACCCTCCATGATTGTGCTGAGCGCAGTTGTGAAACAACGTACGATATTTGACCATAATACATACACCATCGTCCATTGGTCAAATTCTCTTCGCAGACTTATTTCAAACCAATCATTGGTAGCGATGCATAAAATATGTGATAAATATTCAAAAGGCAGTCACCTTTACGATGACCTAGCGGAAGTAAATTGTAGCCATTTTTAAATCAGCGATCATGAGATTATTATTAATCGGTTGATGGTTGAATCGGGCAGGAAAAAATCCCCAACGACCTGTCGTATTTTTTTCTGAAATTAACAAAAATCCTCATGATGAACAGTTAATGATGTCTTCTGCTTCGGAAGAATTAGTAGGCTTGCCGCCCGAGGTCATATGGGAGTACCAATTTCGTCTGATCCTTGTGGGCGATTCGACGGTGGGCAAGTCGTCTCTGCTGCGGCGGTTCTGTGACGGTAAATTCGTGGAGGTATCGGATCCCACGGTAGGGGTGGATTTCTTCGCCAGGTTGATCGAGGTGGCGCCAGGGAGGCGGGTGAAGTTGCAACTGTGGGATACGGCCGGGCAGGAACGATTCAGGTACCCCGTGAAGGACGGTTCCTACCTCCATGATTTCACTGATCTCTGATCATGGAAATAGGCCTAAGTTTTAACTTTTTAAGCATGTTCGAATGCCTGTTGAAAAGGTGAATTCGACTTTACTTTTTCAAGTTCAGAAAAAAATACATGTAGGCTGTGTCTCTATTTAGCATGTTTAGCATGCTTAGTCATCAGGTTATAGAGTTACCTAAATCAATTTGATGACTAGGGAAACAGTAAATGTGGTTTGAGATGCCATGGCCAAATCATAAATTTTTTTACAATAAACATGAATGAAGAGCAAAATGACATTTATCCTGATATCCCTTGTAAGTGAAATCATGTTTGCAATACCTATTTTTTCTAAATCAATGTTTTTGACTAATGTAAAATGTATAATCATCTGAAAATTTGTTTCTTTCTTTAAAATGCCATTTCTAGATCAATAACAACTTCGTATTATCGGAACTCTGTCGGTGTGCTGTTAGTGTATGACATTTCCAATCGGCGCAGCTTTGAGAATCTCCAGGAGTGGCTGCTAGAGGCCAAGGAGAATGTGAGCAACCCGTGCAGCACCACGTATATGGTGATCGGCCACAAGTCTGATCTGGACGATCGGCGGGAAGTGTACAAGGAGGAAGGGGAGAAGTTCGCCCAGGCCTACAACATGAAGTTCATCGAGACCTCGGCCAAGGCCTGCGTCAACGTGGAGGCTGCCTTCTCGGTCATGGCCAAGGAGATTTACGTCAAACTGAAGAACGGTGAATTGGAGATCAAGGAGGGGTGGGATGGGATCAAGGGGGGGTTCACAGCACCACGGGAGACGCTACGATTGGAGGAGCCGCGGCAGGATAAGAAGATGTGCTGTGCATGATGATTGTTAACGTGGTAGCATCTGTCAAGCACTGGTTCATGTTACTCCCCTCTTCCCCTCCCCCCCCACCGATATACGACAGATTTAAGGAGAGCCAACGACAGCAATATTGTGAAATTGTCACCCAGATATGAAGTCACACTCCCATAGCACGTCTCCTAAATTTTCTCTGGCAATTTGACCATTACTATTGTAATGTCAAAATTTTAAATCTAGCCTGCCATTTTGATAATAGGCTTTTTCACGTCCTCTTGAGCTCTTTTTGTTCGTTTCAACAGTGCCTCAAGTTTCCTCCTCATTGATTCGTCCGTAATCGGTGGAATTGAAATAGCATTTAAATTTGTGCATCCGTCCAGATTGCATCTATGTTTGCAAGAAGCTTTATTTATACTTTAGCTCTGAATTACTAGCCTTTTATGTCAAGAAAATTTTTGAAATAAACATTTTTTGTCGTATTATGGGTCAATTCACAGATCAGAGTGTTTGGATGGCAGATTTCTAGTTAAGGTACAGTCATTTGAAGGAAAATTGAAATCTGTTTTAGAGGAACCAACTGAAATAAATTTCAAACTAATCACTTATTTCGTCAATATTCTTGCTCCAAAGAAAATAATAAATCAAAAATATACCACACACTGATGATAAATGAAGTCATTTACATGCGAACGTAGGTCCCAATAGAGGCTTTGCATGGTAGCCATATTGCAGGGCAGTTCTTGTGTTCCTCAGGGAAGCCTCCTTTGTGCGTACCCTGTGGAACAAAAGCATTGGCCTGCAAGGTGGCAGCCATGCAAACTCTCTGTATTGGTTGTTCATGCAGACTATTTAACGAGGGAATAAAGGTGCTTGGCTGGTCTTAAACATTTGTTTCACTGTATAAGGAGAATGAATGCTGATAATGCCCACGCCGAAGGCCAGGGACATTATCAGCATCTAGATTCCTGATTCCCAGCCCTAAATATCTTTGCAAGTCACAAATTCGAAACGAGTTTTAAACATTATAAAAGTCCAATGATTGTGTTCAACAACTTTATTTTCAAACACCGCTGTAGCAATGTGATGATCTGTTCCTCTCACAAATAACGATAAATTATCTCCACCTGTGGAGCGTTGTGTGTCAGGTGGCACAAGGCCAGCCACTGCTTCATCCATCGTTTAAGACCAGCCAATCGACACTCTCAACCAATAGGAATGGCTAACGTGTCTTAGTTATGTATGATTAGTGCTAGTAAAAGCATTCTTCATGTTTAGAATTCTAATAGCATGACATGTCTGTAGACTAGGCGGTCATGTTTGTTAACGGTAACATGAACCAGTGCGTGCGTTGTACTTTAGGATATGATGTATACATCGTACGTTACGTGTCTGTGGTGAGTGTCCATTGTCAGTGTCAATGCGGTCAGAGCGTTACAGAGAAAAAAAAAATCGAGAATTATTCAGTAAATTGCTACAAAGATGAAATACTGTGTGTAAATATTGTGGAAATCATTGCTTGGTGGTATCACGTGCTGAGCAAATAGTAGGACCTTTATGAGTAACTTGGGGAAGACCTAGTCTCTCAAGTCGGCATTGTCAGCACTTGAAGTCTGAAATGGTTGACAAATATCCGACAACTGGGGCGTGATTTGGTGACCCCTAACCAGAAACTTGTTTGTGACGTCGGGGCAGTAACCAGGATCATGTTAAGGGTGGCCCATAAAAACAAAAAAAACAGAAACGGTTACGTCATCTGACGGAGGCAAGCGCGGGGAAGCAGATGACACTGTGGATGGACATCATTTTTACTCAATATTTGGCGTGTTTCTCATCCTGCTCTCTCTTTTCACGTATGTTCTCGGAGAAAATATCTCTCTGATTCGCTGCATCCAACAAGTGATTTCTTAATGTATAATTCACTCATTTGAGCAGCGACGAAAATTGTCCGTTTATTTTCGGCCATTTTGAACTGGCACTAAACCGACTCCGACCGTCGGTTCTCGTTCCGTCCAAACAATGACATCACAGAGGCATAACAAGGTCACCAAAATGTTTAGCCAGTGACCAATGCTGAAACAAGATGATGGTTTGGGTGGCCGAAACACGCCCCTATTTATGGCACACTCTCGCTCTTGCATCTCTACCACCATTGCTTTAGGGTTAAATATCCCAGTTTTGGTCAAGTACAAGCTATGTTGCTTCAGGTGTCTGTAACAGTGTTGGCAGGGCTGCCAAACTCCTGTGCATTCAGTGTGAGACTGTCACATTTCCAGTTGGAAATTCTCACTATGTCACGCCCATATGGGAATTCTCATACTAACAATGCAAAGCTAACACAGTCCAAAATGAGTGATTTGCTCATTTCGATATCCTGTGTTTACAAGGCAGTGAGAACTTTTTCTCTTTTGAAAAACGAATAACTAGACATATATCAGAGGCCGTGTGGCTTGTGTCTGGTACCAATTGGACACTAAATGGTGTCTGAAACTGGCTTTCAGAGCTGCAGCTTTTCCTATTCTCGCGCTCAACTCTCACGCTCAACTCTGACGCAGTGTCGGCAGCCTTTGTTGGATATCAGTTGTGATGTACCCTGCCTGAATAAACTGGCTGTGGCTAAGCCAGCATGCACATACATGTATCAGTGGCAAGTGGTTGGAGCCACTAGCTAGTGGCTTCCAAGGGCATGCATTGCCTTCTTATTGGAAGCTGTAGCCTCATAACCGGACACAAATAACCAATGACAAAGTGCTGAGCTAAAATGAAATAAATCAGCTTTTACTCGTCATTCATGTTCGCAGCGTAGAAAGGTTTGAAATTTATTGGCTTTTGTGAAGCCTATCGTGTCAAGAAAATGGGATGACTACGGATCATTTCTTTATGTATTTCTTGCCTCATATGGGGAAAAGCAGGTATCGATTCAATTTACATCCTACAAGCATGTCATGCCAAGTTGTAGTGGTCACAGAGTACTTGTAACCAAGTAAAGTACAACAGTGTGAATAATCAGTATAAGTATAAATAAGTATTTATTTTTCACAAGTGTTGCACACATCCAGAGCACCTGTACATCATTATACCATATTTATATCATAGTGTATTACATAAACCGAACACTTTAATTGGCCTAAATTGAAAGAGAAAAAGCATTGCTTGAATTTTATTGTTTGGGGTTAAATCTATGCAATTTTACTTGTTTGGGATTATTTTTGTTCCTTTTTGCTCATCACACACTCAAAATTAGACCAGAAAGTTCGACTGTCTTGAATGACATTAATGTATGCACAGTATTTTGAAGTGTACATATTTGAATATTTTACTCGCACGAACATTCCTCCAAAGTGTGTGTTTGGGGACGTTGGAGGTGAATCGAAATACCAATTATGCTGCTCAGGTTTATTGCCAAATCCCTAGTATCTTGGACAGAATCAATAGTGTCGTGATAATTTCAGTAAAGTTAGGCATATTGTAGAGAAGGGACAAATCAACATGAAAAGGGCATGATGCAATTCAGATAAATTTTTTGTAGCGGGAAAACTGTGTTGTATTTACAACTCAATTGATGTGTAAATGCACATTGAATATTCATCCAGTCCTTTTTCTCTCAGTGTTAAGAAAGCACCATGGCATGGCTGTTTAATTCTTAATAGTTTCTTGAAATCATAATGAACCCCCCCCCGACTGTTTTTGTTAGACAGTTGCTTAACAGTAAACTTTGAGGTTCCGTTAGGGTATTGCATTGTTTTTTGGGGGGGGGTTTCTATTGCTCCAAGCATTGCAGTATGGATGTTGTTTATTGTCACACTGGTTCTCAGTGGGAATGGGGGAAATGTCACATGGTCTCTAAGGGATTTCATGAGGCGTTTTCCTAGGTGCTTTTAGAGCAAAGTCTGCGATATGTGAGGCGACTGGGTACCTTGCTCTTCCGTGTACATTGTACATTATGTTTGCAGCGGCACAGGCTAAAGATGGAAACATTTCAGTTATACATTGATCGTGAGGGGATTTTGTTGGAAGCCATGCAGATTTTTCATCCACATCTTTGTGAGTATTGTCCCACTATTGTCCCACGTGCACACTAGCGGTGTTGATTCCGGACTTCTTTGGTTGAAATTGGTAGCTGAATTGTATTCAGGAGGAATGAAACTGTACCGTGCAGCGTGCACATGCCTTAGGATGAATGTAGCTACATACAGTGTGCGCAAAATTGTCAAGCAATGCTGCATAGCTTGGAGATGCTTATTTGTCAAGGGTTTGGAAGTCTAAACAGTGACTGTGCTAGAGCCACATGTACACAAACGCTCTACATTCCTTGCGGTGCTTTGGGGGCGGTGAATGACTTGTGCAGTAACTGGAGTCTGGCAGGGTACACTGTTTATTCCGTTTAAGGGTAAAAGTGACGGAAGGTCAGTGTGACATCGGAAAAATTATGTCTTTCATGTCCTTGATTTTTGGGGGGAAGATATGTGGGGCAGGTTTCCATTTGTCAAATGTTGCTTTGCTTGTGTGCTACTTTGTAATTGTGCCATGACTGGAGTGGGCATGGGGGAAAGGAAAACAGGTGTAGGCCATTTAGAATTTGCACATATGACAGATAATTCAACAGTACAAATGTACAAGTTTGATTCAGATTACAGTGAATTTCAGTGAGGTACTCCGAAGGCCCAACAGTTTTCTGTTTATCAGCAACTTGAGTGTAAATTACATTTTTCAGTAAAAAAGCAATTGGAATGACCAACTTTAGGCTCAAAGTGAATGTTATTGTCAAGATAAGGTCAGTGTTGTTTGCTGATTTTATTTATTTTATTTTTTTTCTTTAAACCATTCGAGGTAGCTAAATTTTCTACGCAGAACATATTGCCTCATTATTTTTGCACGGATCAAAGGATAAAGTTGTGCATTTTCAAACTTTGGGCCAAGGAATCTAATTGTCTTCATGATAATGCAAAAATCAGATGTGAACTGCAACGATGTAAGCTCTTTCCACTGAACTAAAAGCCGAGTGTTTCTGAGTTAAACAAGACTTGCAAATGCAGGGGTAAAAAAAAAGTGGAAATGAAAATCAAGTGATGAGTAGTCCTGTGTTGTGAATTGTCTTGTAAAAAAAATATGAAATAATCTGGTGTATACATTTCAATGTTTATTAAATTCCACTCATTATTTAACATGTATATATTCAGAATAAATGTTCAATATAGAGAATGGCTCAAGTATTATTGGATATTTTTATTACTCGCCTGGATAACTGGCCTTGCAAACTGCTAAACGTAAGATTTCTTGACATATTTTCCCCATTTGAAAGGTTAACAAAATTGAAAAATTTATTGTTGTATTGTGTAAGTCATTCCCAGTATCTAAAATCATGCAAGCAAAAGTGGTCTTTTGATCCAACTGTTTCACACTTAATATTTCTCGCATTTCGAAAATTCAATCCCCCTGCTCAATCTCAAACGGTATTCAATACATGTACATTGTACAACGCAAGTTGGTCTTTTCAGCAGGCAGTTTCTGGTTTTCTTTAGTTAAGAATCGATTTAACTATAGACGGTTCTGATAAAACACTTGATCAAATGAACATCTGACTAAAGCAAACCCTACGGGAACTTTGTACGAGCATGGAGGTAGAATATTCTACCTCCATGGTACGAGAAGGATAAATTTGCCCCTTTGCCGTCCATGGTGACGTAACGCCGATCGCGAGAATGTGAAAATCCGAAGTAGGCCTACACCCTCTTTAAATCGGTCAAATAATCTATTGGACCGATTTAAAGCACGCCCTCTGCTTAAACGAAGTGAGCGTTCATCTGTAGACGGATACCTATAGTACTGCAGCATACTTTTTGTAGAAGAAAGTAACAAAACAAACAGGAAAGTGACTGGAACTGATCTTAACACATCATTATCAATTAATTGAAAAAGACAACGCACGAATAGCTGCAGTCTAAAAATAATGAGTGCACCCTGGCATTAATTACGGCATAAATTATTTCAAAACTCTGAGTGCGCCCTCATTTGATGCTGCATTTTTTTTATACATCAAAAAGCCTGCCCTCTATCGACTGATTTTTCCCGAACTCGGTAGATAGAGGGCGGGCTACAAAATGGCAGCGTCCAAGATACCGAAAGCCTTGACACTCAAGCAGGTAAATATAACAGTGGAAATGTGGTTCCTCACTCAAAAAGAATAAATCCAGAGATGTGTAGAGATAAATGCTCGATCACGTTAGTGGTGGTGTGCAGTATTCAAATTCCACTTGGCACGGGCTGATTTTCAAGTTTCATTTCAACTCGTCTTTGAAGTTTCAACATGCATGACATGAGCATGATTGAACACTCTGACTGTGAGTGACTGAGACGTAACAAGTGAGTCCTGTTTAACATCGAATGTAACTGTCAAACAGCAATTTTAAATCTTCAAATAGTGATATTTTAACTATTCCATGTTACCAAACATAGCACTCATCCCAAAAATGATAGTGAGCCATACACTAAATGTGTCGTTACGTGGGCATGACAGGAGGTAACCAAATAAATTTTCCTTAATACATTCACTTTGTTCTTTTCCAGTTTCTCCTTAGACAGCAAGTCTTGAGTCTCTACCGAGACATACAGCGATCTCTAAGACGAGTGCCAAACAAGAAGGACAGGGATGAGTTGAGAGTCTGGGCGAGGGAGGAGTTTAAGAAGAACAAAAAGGAGAAAGATGAGGTATTTGACAATCTCATAGTCTCATTAAAGATGAGAGAGTAGGTCTATGTTTCTGTGCACAATTTAGCACTGTTGCACTTGCTTGCTGTTTTCAGATGTGTCCAGCGAGTGATACTTTTCCCCATTCTATTTATCTTGTCCAAGGATGTCATGGATAGGCATGTATCACTTTTGAGCTTTCCCTCTTTAAGACAGATGGCCGAAAGTGACTCTTATCTCTGTCGGCTGGCATGTGGTGCATGTATTCCATAGGTTCTACAACAGAGAAAATTTGAAAAGAAGTGCAGTTTTGCGAGAAATAATGAGTATATTTCAGGGCCAAAACTTGAAACTTTTGGACCTTTATGGGGGAAAAAATCTGTATTAAAATGTCTTCATTTTTATGGTTTCACAGATTGTCATCCGTATGCTTCTCACGCAAGGAAAGAGAACTCTGCAAGAAATACAAAGTACCGTGATTCTTGCTAGGTGATGTGTAGGTACAAGGATGGATGAAACTTTGACAGCAGTATTGTTCCAAGTGGTAGCAGGACAGCCCGTGCTGCTATGCAAATCCGAGACGACTAAGAGGAGACGAGGAAGTCCACAACTGACTGACGTGAGGGACTGTTCCGAGAGACTGCCTAGTTCACAGAGTGAGCTGCTGGGCACAAGATGCCCCGCAAGTCTCAAAGGACACTGACAAGTTTTGTCAAGGAACCTATATTGCATCCTGCCAGACGACAGGACGGGTACCACCGAGGCATTTGTATTTTGCACAGAGATTTGAAAACACAATCACAAATATTCATTGTTTGACATCAGTGCTGCAGAAAGCTACAGCGTAGTCGTCACCCTTGTTGGATCATAAAATCTGCCTAAAAAAAACAACATCTTCACTCACTTTTTTCGCAAGCAAATTGCTTTATATCTTTTCATTTATCAGTACTTATTATAAATAACTGTTGAGTTTACAGCAAACTGTTGTCACAAAATAAATATGTGTAAATTTAAATTAGGCAGCAATTTAACAAGTAAAATGCTCGGAATATATAATTTGCTGAATAATTTGTTACTTATGTTGGTAATACATCCATTGTCAAGGTAAACCTTTGACATAAAATAGTAAGTATGTACTGCAGCACCGTCAATACTCTGTGTTTTTAGATAAATATCAAAACTGATGTTTGATCTTCCTGTAGAGGTTTGTTTGATTGGTCATGTATTAAAAAGGACTTCCTTCTTGTCGTGGTCAAATGGGTCATGGCAAGTACGCTAATCTTGCAGCAAAGGAAATGAGCTATAAGTCACCTGTCTTTTAAAAAGCAGATTTCAATATGGATCCAAATTTAATTATGTAACTGTGATACAATATATAAATCTGTACATGTACCCATGAGCATATGTAATACCCAACAGTTATACGATAACATTTCTGGGTTTCACATTTCTGAGGTAGTGTTTTTTTAAACCTTTTTTTTCAAGCCCTTTCTGCTGCCTCGTATGACGTGCAACATCTTACGAATTCAAGTTATTTTTTTTTAAATGAGGTCTGAAATATGACAGGATGGAGACACTGTTGGTAACGGTGGTATACAGTGTCTGAGTGCCCAAGTTGTGTTCAAGTCGAAGTAAGTGACCACCCCTCCCAGAAACTCCTCTTCACGTCTCCCGGTCGCACACCTGGACGTCGCAGTACTCCCAGCGCGTCTTCTTGAGCGTGGTGAAGCACCAGGGCCGTTCCATCTTGCCGGAGGGGTTGCGGCAGTAGTTGTGGTCGCCCAGCCCCTGTCTCGCGTTGCGGGCCGGCTCGTCTTTCCAATACTCCTGCCGGTGCGGCCACTGCGCGTTCCACTTCTGGCAGGTGGCGCCAGACACCGTGTAGTCGCGGGTGCCGCGGTATTCTCGCCCGTCGCCGTGTTTGCTCACCACGCACTCTTCTAAAGGAACACATCCAAAAGTGAAAACCAATTAAGATTGATCCTCGAGGATGCAAATGTAAGAGAATTTTGGCATTCATCGGCCACCTTGGTACCAAGGGGGTGTGTTAAAAGTCAGACAATACTCTGCAAAAAATGGAGGCTGCAAGATTTAACTTTCGAAATCTACGGCATCATAATGGTATTCTAACAAACTAAATTACGCGACCCTTTCGCAAATCAAATAGACCAGATTGCCAACTGCTTAACCCTTGTCCTCAATCCTCCCAAATTTCAGTATAATTCTACATATAACCCCTGGGAGTCAGGGTTAACATTTCAAGAAAAATTGATGGAAGTCACAATGAACCACGAACGTAGAAGAGATTTTACAGTGAAGTGGATCCTTAATTTCAAATTTGAGGGGAAAAGTTGATGTAAGCAAACCTTGCGAGTCCTGAGCCATTTTCCTCTGGTTACAGCCGTACATGGCCCGGGCCTGCGCCACGTCCAGTGGGCTCAGCCTCTCCTGCTGACCCAGGCGGAGACCCAGCCGACGCCCAATCTTCTTGACCTTAATGGTGGGCTGGCCGTTGGCCGTGAAGGCGTTGGCGGCGTAGTGCATGATGCTCTGGTAGTCGTAGGGGAAGCCCAGGCTGGTCACGTTGGCCGCCTCGATCGTGCCGAAGTTCTCCTCCGTGCCCGGCACGATGTTCTTGTACAGAATCTTGATGTACTTGTTTCGATCACGCCGGCTCTGTGTGGGAAAACCAACGGAGTCAGTTTTGTCGTCTTCAAAACCATCCATTTGCGAGTAAGTAAATCTCAAAATATGGCCCAATCTAACAGACTTGACACGGCCACCATCAGTTAAAGGCCTTTGAAGGAATCTCGCACAGTGTAAATCAACAGGAAACCTCAGTCGACGTTTGTCTTGATGCTAAACAGACTATTACATAAAATGTAAGAGCTCAGTTTGATCTCTCAATTCAAACAAAATTTATTTAAAACCGAATATATAGCCGTTGGCCTCATTTTGCGCGATGCGTTCAAGTCTTTTACGCATAAGGTAGGCTTAAATTGATTTCTTGTCTTAGAAGTTGCTTTTGCATCCCAGAATATTCCCGCAGGATTTTCTGCTCTGATTGGCTTTCACCCCTCACCTGTTCGTGCCAGAAGCCGACCGCGTGGCCGACTTCGTGGATGATGGTACCGAAGACGGCGCAGCCTGGCCCCACGGAGACGATCTGTTCGCCTCCTTGCCTCCCGACGTACGACCAACAACTGCGAAGTAAGCACGGGAATGAACAAACAGGGGTCAAGGAAAAATATGTATCCGATGAGCAACTTGAGAGAGAAAGATATAGTTTAATTCATTAAAAGGACATTTCGACAGGCCACACAATAAGCGCACAAGCATTAAACTGATAAACTTAAGTTATCGTTCGAAGAAGTCCTCCAATACAAGATCCAATTGAAAATCGACATGGCGTACATCAAAAACTTCGAATAGAAATTTTTGAACACAAATATGTTCTTACCCGGGGTAATAGGCGAAGCGCAGATAATCCCGGTCTTTATCTTTCTTCTCCCGGAACTGTAGACATGTTTGCCTCTCCCAGTGTCTCAAGGCGGAGCGGATCAACTTCGCTGTCTCCGGGGCTGCTGGACAAATGAAGAAAGAATCACACATCTTTCTGCAATCGAACCTTGTTTGTTTAATTCAATATCTAATCTCAAGATCTTTTCGTACAAAGCTACAAGCTTTGAATTATAAGGAGCGAATTGAAATGCCCGAAACAAAGATACACAGTCGAGTCCTCTCACCAAAATCGTCGCCGATGACGTAAGGAATGATCCCGTTGGGCCATCGTTGGGCCGTCGGCCTGACGATGGCTCTGGCCGTGCGCAGGCCGGTAGACGCCCGGCGCTCATGCCTCCTGGCTCGGCGCTGCCTTCGCTGCAGCATGTTGGCCAAGCCCAGGTTGCGACGAGTAGTGGGGTCTAGGACGATGTCCCCCTCGAAAAACGGCGTGACAAAGGCCTGCTGAGCTGTTAATGTTACGGAGCAGAGGAAAACATAGGTGACGAGGACGTGTTCACAAAGGTGTCACAGAGAAGCGATGTGAAAAGGTTTCGATGCACTATAGTTTAACTGACAATCTATCGAAGAAAATGACCACCCTGTAGTTTTGAACTTCTTGACCTTGTTAAAGTAACTTCATTTAATGACGCATACACGAACTTGTTCATTGTAAAACATCAAAGCTCAATTTTCCACAATACGGTATTTCCCTTCTATTTTTAATTTCCTTTGTTTCTCCGAACAGTTTTTTTCCTTTTCATGCATTTCGTCCAGACAGGTCTTTGAAATGACAAATTTCAAACTTACTTCCGCCACTGGGTCCAGGTATGCTGATGGTACAGAGCTGGGCCAATGGAGGGGGGCACAAGCCTAAATTAATAAGACAAAAATTGTCACATTTTAAGCTCCTTACTTTAGAACAAAAATAACTACGTGAAATTATACCGCCAAGGAGATCTCAGTCTATAAATACCAGCACCGCATTTAATGTGCATCATCCAAAGGGTTTTTTTTAATTAAAAAAGTAAATAAATAACTGAGAGCTGGGAGCTACCGTAACAAAACAACACGCAAAACAAAACAAAGCAAACTCGGCACAAGCCGCGGGGAAATGAACCACGCAAGACCTTGACTTTCTTTCCTCGACTGTTTTGGTTTGTCAAAGGTCTTGTTTGTTTTTGTTGCCTCGTAACTCCACTTTCTGTTGCTTGCTCTGAAAACAGTCACCAAAGCTGTTCTTCCTGTTAAACCGCGGGCTTGCCTCACCGTCTGAAAACATCGTGTTTTTCCAAGGCATTCGACGGTGCAACAAATTCAACATAACCTCGTGCGATGCAGTTTGGTTGAAAGCATTTCACGAGCACGAAATACTCCGTAAATCAAACAGCACTGTTTTGCGAAGCTTGATTCGTTCATTCCTTCACCGTGTCTATGTGAGTTGTAACATGCTGACCAGGGGAACTACAGCACATTGGTGAATAAACACGATCGCTTTTCTGTTGCTTGATTTCCTTTCTGAAATAGACGTAACGACTTCCGCTGAGCTGGCCGGGTCTGCCTGCTCGTTCCCTAGCCGTGCCGCCTTGAACCCACAATGACAGGTCAGGCAAGACTGAGGCGAGTCCACGAGGACAGTTAAAACATTCTCATTTTCTTTTACAAATCAACATGGCTGATATTTTCTTCGAAAGAGCTTTTCTTCATCGAATGCCGACCGTAAACACTATTTTAAAACATTGATTGGTGATGGAACGATTTCGTTACACCCCATTGAGTCGTCAACGGAGGTCAAGAGGCGTGAAGCAAATCTGGACCCAGAAACAACATGACGGCAAGCACGCAACAATGAACCTTGTTTATTAAATCAAGAAAGGATATCGGGTACAAATAGGCCTAACTCAAAAATGATAGGGGAACACGACCGGTCGGGTGCTGGGACGCAGCGTGGCACTATAGCCGAGCACACCACAGCAATTGGACTGAGCAATCCACTTTGATGCCCACACAGTGAGCCCAAGAAATCTTTAGGCCTACACCCAAAAGCGACACTATCCCCGACAAATCCTAAATTATACCGGCTATCATTCGACGGGGTTTCGAGCAGCCGTCTTTACAAGAAAACTTTACCAAAACGTCGAAAAGTGACTTTTAAAATTGTGACATGCCCTCTTCACTTATATAGGCCTACGAAATAAAGAACTACGCGCAGTGCCTGCTGACTCCAGAGACTTGATTTGGACATTAAGAAAGATTCTCCTGGGGCTGAAACGAGACCATCTAACTCGTTGGCCATCCCTCTGTCGACGAACTCACCTTGATTGATTTCCCACGGTCTCCTTTCGCTGTCCTCCTCGGGGTTCCTTCCTCTCGCTCCCTCATCTTCCCGGTCAATGAGCGCCTCTGGTCCCCTCGAAGACGATTCTACGGAGGTCTCTCCGTTCACCGTTGCCGGGGAAGATCCCAATCTAGCGTTACCGCTGTCCTCGACGTTACTTTTCCTGCCACTGCACAGTGGTCGCGCGTGAGTTCCGCTGAGGAAAAGCGCGCCGAGGAGAACGAATGTCATGGGTAATGACATCGACAGTTTTGACAAAGCGTGTGCTGTCGATTTCGAGAATATGACGGTCATTTTTAGCTGAGTTGATAAAGTTGTTGTGCTCTTGGCAAGAACTGTTAACAGTGTATCACTGACCCTTGTAATAATTTCAGTGAGATGACCACAGACACCGTAGTAAAGGCCAGGGTGATTGTACTTTTGAACAGGTCGCCAGGAAATGGTCTAACTTGAGGCAGACAAGATAGAAAGGAAGTTTCCGGACGGAACAAAATGTTGCTGGAATTTCCACGAAGAAACTCGATCGAGATAGAATGAGCAACACTGGTTTCCTGTGTCCCCCGCGATCCAGAAAATCTTCCCCGCAAAGAACAGATTTGAGTTGCCGTGGAAACGAAGAACGGGAATTTATTTCGTCAGACGACACGCCACGAAATCGCAGCACGATATGAAGACATGCGATGTGCTTCAAACTATTATTAAGAATGATCCTTAATCATTCATTTACTGCCTTTGAACTATCAGGTAGCCTACATGAAGTGTTGAGCGTCAGACTTCTATCATGCCAGGTTTTCGCATTCTTCACAAATTTGTTCGGCGTAGGTTAGGGCAAACTTAAGTACTGACTACCAGTACGCGGCTCTGCCCGCTATTTATGCACACTTGACTGAACTGATCCGGCAGAAATATGCTGGCTTTCGACAGGTGGGTGAACCGTGAGCGATGACCTTGGGGTCTGCCCTTTATCACGGCGTGACCCTTGAGAATGGAAGCATTTTTAGCCTCTGTTAAACATGTAAATTTGCCTTTACGAGAACAGCAACTCCACAAAATCCATTCTCAAGGTCTTGAAAGGATTTGCCTCAGAAGTAGGTCACAATGACCACGGCTTGAAAACTGCTCGATGTAAGGTAGAATTATCGTTAATTAGGACGCATTAGTGTGAGGAACAAAGTGTGCAATTTAATGAAGGTCATGTCGAAAATTGAAAACCTTGTTGTCCTGGAGTGCCAACACAAATGCCTTCTGGGTCGAAATGCTCTTAAATCCTCCGTGGTAATTCCGCGGTTGATAGAAAGAGCGATGTTTGCACCCTACCGTGCCGGAAGCCGAGGGATACTGTCAGTGAGCAATTAGTCTGATTGAAATGAAACATATTATTCCAGACTTGTGCAACTAACATGATGAAGGGGGGGGGTCGTCTATTTGAATACGTCACTTGTTTTCCTAGCCTCGCTGTCGGCACGGATTTTTGTTCCTGTCATACCAATGTAACAACGAGCCCTGCGGCGAGGATTTCACAAATACAGCGGACAAGCGGAAAATGAATAAGTCTAGGACTCGACACTGCCGCTGGGGTCACCTCGCTTGGTTCAGTTGCCAAGACGCCGAGTGATGTGCAAACTAGTTTGAATAAAGCAAACAGATCAAGATAAATAGACACTACACATTCAAGTAATTGTTAATGGAGAGTTATTGAGTCTAACCTTATTACCACTTTAGTGTTCATAACCCTCATATTTTCGGTTATCGCTCCCTCTTTCCAATCAAGACGGACGGCAACCTCGCTCTATTCTCCAACTCCTTGTCCAGAATGATTTATGACCAGAAGTTGACAAGAATCAAGGACCGGCTACCGATAAATCACAGCCGGCTCTTTCGGTCGACGATTCCTCACAGGGAGGACTTACAACGCGTATCCCGCTCAAATTCACACTAAATTTTATCCGGTCGGCTAGCCTTTGACTGACAATTGCAGTTGAAGAAAGAAAAACTTGACGGACATAGAACGGACAAATCCTTCAACATGTCTATGACCGATTGCAACAGTAGACAAATAGCGGCAGGCTATGGAAGGTGAATCCCAAAACGATCTCAGTAACGAGCGTCTCTTGTGGACGGGTTACAATGCCCTAACGAGGCATGACGTCGCGAATCTTCGGAAAAACAGTACCGCACCGTTTCCCCGCGAAAAAGTAGACAACACCGAAGCTGGAATGCATCCTGTCACGAATCAACCAAAACCTAAGTCATAATTGTACCGAACCCTGCTCTCGAGACACAGACCGGGAAAAGAAGTTGCCAGATAGAAACGGCTTTCCTCAGAATTTCCAGCAAAAAAAAAGGTTAGGTTGGGTGAAATAAATGCAAAGATTCAGGGCAGACCTTTATTGACCGGTACGCTTCGTCACATTGCGTCATCATTCCAACATTCATGTCACCTAAAAAACAAACAAACAAAAAAGGACTTGGCGCCATCCGCCACAAAAGAAAACTTGAGCGGCTTCGCGTGACGGAATTTTAATTCCAACCCAAGGATGAAAAACATGTCTTGTACACTTTCAAAAAACAATTACCATTCGAAGGAACAGCAAGCCATGAGTCTTTAAAAGATGGGTCATGCTGACCAAAATGACGGAGAATGAAGATGCGAGAATTTTGGTCAATCTAAAGTCACGGGCCACTCTTCAAACACCTTACGAAGAGCGTGGTGACTTTTTGCGGAAGTTCTTGACTTATTGCAGGGACAAAGTCATTAGCTTGTCAAACATCTCCACGTTTCAATCAGGAGGAGTCCTGGAATGTCTTTAATGAAGAAAGCCATTTACATGCGCATACACATGCGCAAACACCGCAATATCGACGCGACAACTGACGTCACATAACTGTGTGGTCAAGGGCGCCAATTTGTTTTGGTTAAACCAAGGCTGCGACTCCCACGAGTCCAAATGTAGCTCACAGGGTGTGTCTGTACGAACTGTCTCGACACAACTTGCACTACTGCTGTCTTATCAGATCATTTGTTTTTTAAATTTAACTACACTGACGCCCATCTCAGGATCGAGGTTTACTTCAAGGCGACAAGAGGTCAACTTTTGAAAAAAAAAAAATTAAAAAAATACAAGTCACAACTCGAATTCAAAATGAAAACGTAAGAGTAATTTAAATGAGCCACAGCCAATGAAATGCACTGGACTTTATTTCATGATTCGAAATGTAACCTTACAACATTAAGCTCTAAGTTAACTCTAATTATGTCCGTAAATTGCAAATTAAGTGAATACAATATATAGACTTAATGATACACGATTTCTTCCCCAAGAAGAAATGATGGGCAACCTATTTGGTATGGTAAGAAATGGTTACTTAAAGAAAATACATTTCTGTGCCAAAGTAACTTTCATTAATATTTCTCATCTGTATTTTGGACTTATTTTGGAGGAATCCCTTTAGCTGCTTCAGAATTGGCTGCTTGACAAGATATGCAGTGCTAGCTCTTCGTCATCTTGTAACATCAATCCCGTGTCTTGTGATTCCGCCTCCTCCCGTACCCTTGGCCCTTCCCCCTTTCCAGCCGGTTTTCGTTTCTTCTTCACAGTCATCTGGCCGTCCCTCTCCAACTTGGCTTTTCTCTTCTTGGTTGTCTCCACTGAGCTCTTATCTATCTTCGTTTTCTTCTTCGTGACCTTCTTTTGCGGCTGTTTTTCTTCGTTGTCGGTTCCGCCGTTCTCGTCTGCATATTTGTCTGGGTCGGGCAGCGTGTCAGGGTCAAAGGGCACATAGTCCTCGCCAAGGTCAAGTGACGCACCAACATCCTCATCCTGCAGTAGGCCAAATACTTGATTGTCATTTTGAGCCAATTACCAAGATAGACCAATTACTAATTTAGCACGGGTCGGAATGCCCCCATTAAGTTTTATCTGAGAATAGGTCTCCCTCAAATGACGTCACTTCCTACACACCACCACCCGCATTAGCGTTTTTGACTTCAATGCTAGTGACGCGCATCGGCCGCGCCTTATTTTAAACCCATTTGGATTGGCACACGTGCGAGTTGAGACTATTTTGAACACCATGCATGCGCGCACCATTAGGTGTTGTACACGCAGTTGCAAATTTCCTACAAAGATGGCGTCCAATGAGAGAGATCTGTTCCAAAAGGAACTTACGTCTGAGTCTTCCCCCTTCCGTCTCCTTGCATATTTCCTGCGTTCTTCTTTTGCTTTTAGTCTCTCGGCCTGAATCAAAGAGAGCAAATGAGGAAACTCAACAAAGTCTTGATGAGCTCACACTAATCTCAAAAACACTCATCGCTTACATCTACTCTGAAAAATTGGGGCATAGCTGATCAACTTTGAGGATTTCCTTGTTGAACTCTTGCCGAAAACTTTCACTCTCAAAATGCAAGAAAGTCTGGAGTCAGAACAATGTTAGGGCTATGTCTTCCCCTTCTAAGAAGGAAATCACATCTCAACGACGTCTGAAATTATCCAACTGCCATCAATCAACTGGGAAAGGATCTCGCAAAATAAATCTTAAGGCACTGTTTTCATGAGACAGAGAAAACTTAGCTCTTCAATTTGCAATATCAGCTAGTTCAGCATCCTCATAAATAATTGCATTGCGTGGGTGAGATAGCATTGACGGTTCCTGTACAAGATTCTTTCAAAAGCCTCGAGTCCAAAAGCGGCTCTGAAGACTTGTGACTTCTTTTGTTCAGTTGCGTTTATTTTGTTCCCCGGGGTATTGACAGCTCCCTGTGTCTGGTACCCTGACTGCGCCACTGCCTACCTTGTGCTTGGCCCTGATGCGTTCTCGGAACGCCCTCTTGTCATGCTGGTCCTCCTCCCTCATCCACATCTTGGCCTTCTCAATGTCAATACCGCCCTCTGCTGGCTGGTCATCGCCAGGCACAACGGTGCTCTGAATCGGAGGCCACTGCTGGGCAATCTACCAGATGTACAAGAAGACAAGATTTTCTTTCAAATGTCCAGAACCGGACTTATTTTAAAAACACACTAAACACCAAAACTGGTACACAACATGTTTATTCTTACCTCCCCTTCCTCGTCAAAGATCTTCTTGGTATTGACCGCGATTTTCATGCGGCGAAGTTTCTTCGCCGTGGCAACCCTAGTGAGTGGCTTCTTTTTTGAGTTTCCAACGTGCTTAGCGCCCTCTATTGTTTCTGATGTGGGATCCCTTTGTTTCTGTCGCAGGGGAAAAATGCAAAACTGCAAATTATCCAACTGGCATCAAACGATCCCGATACAACCAAGGTCTGCAGTTTTTACACAAAAAGTAACTTCATCTCCTCGACATTCTTCAGATTTTTTTTCTGCGACTGAATTGAAGGCAGGGAAACAAGAATGGCCCAAAAAAAGTTGATGATGCAAGAGAAAAAAAAAAGTGATTGGTGAGTGGATGGTTTGGCCATATCGGACTCACTGGTTTTTCCTCGGTGATGCCAAACACATCCTTCTTCTTAACAACCAGGAAATCTTCATCTTTGTCATCTTCATCTCTTGTCTCTGTCTCTGTCTCTGTCTCTCCAGGCATCCTGAACTCCATTTGGGAGGCCTCTCCCAAGCTTGCTTCTGATTCGGAGGCTGATTCAGAATTTGATTGCTGCTCGGATGTTCTGGACATGCTCTCTGTTGCCTTTTTCGTCTTGCTAGACTTGGCGGGAGTTCTTAGTCTGTCCTCTGGTATCACTCTTTGTGTTCTAGGAAGAGCAATTTCTTGACTCGGACTTGGCATCCTTGTAACTTCTTCACTCTCCTCACTTTCTTCTGCATCCTCATCGTCATGACCAATCTTAGCATCCTCCTGGTGTCGCTTCATCCTCTCAATCTCTGCCTCTTCCAATCTCTCCTCTCCTTGGCTGCGTCTCGGCTTGATGTTGCCTCCCCCTTTGGCCCGGTTTGGCACTGTGGATCTCAGCTTGGCCACCAGGGCGTCTAGTCCCCCATCCTCCCCGCCTCCCGTCTCATCTTGCTCCTCCTCCATCACCAAGTCGGCACCTTGCCTGTGCTGCATCGGTACTGAGAGTGGACCCACGGAACAATAATTAACGACCAATATCAGGATTTTCAGCAGAACTAAGAGAAAGAGAGAGGCGGACGCAAAAATTGAACCTGTGCCTTCCAGACTGCACTGGTACCCTACCAACTGAGCAACTGAACCCTTCACACCTATCCTGCTGATTTGTGACCGTCTTCATTCCTGGAAGTTACCACTTCCAATCAATTTGCTTCAGTTAACAATTATCAACATGATAACTCATAATCAGCCATACAATACAGAACCATGATAAAATGAAGTGCAACAGAGTTAGGGAAGTGTACACTAAGGTT